CGCTGATCAACTCATCCTTGACCGCTGGCTATGTCCCTTCCGTCTTCAAGAGAGCGAGAGTTGCACCCCTTCTCAAAAAACCAACACTCGATCCCTCTGATGTCAACAACTACAGACCAGTATCCCTTCTTTATTTTCTCTCCAAAACTATTGAGCGTGCCGTCTTTAGCCAACTCTCTTGCTATCTCTCTCAGAATGACCTTCATGATCCAAACCAGTCAGGTTTCAAGACTGGTCATTCAACTGAGACTGCTCTTCTCTGTGTCACGGAGGCTCTCCGCACTGCTAAAGCTAACTCTCTCTCCTCTGCTCTTGTCCTTCTAGACCTGTCTGCTGCCTTTGATACTGTGAACCATCAGATCCTCCTCTCCACCCTCTCCGAGCTGGGCATCTCCGGCGCGGCTCACTCTTCGATTGCGTCCTAGCTGACCGGTCGCTCCTACCAAGTGGCGTGGCGAGAAGCTGTCTCCGCACCACGTGCTCTCACCACTGGTGTCCCCCAGGGCTCAGTTCTAGGCCCTCTCCTATTCCTGCTATACACCAAGTCACTTGGCTCTGTCATATCCTCACATGGCCTCTCCTATCATTGCTACGCAGATGACACACAACTAATCTTCTCCTTTCCCCCTTCTGATAACCAGGTGGTGAATCGCATCTCTGCATGTCTGGCAGACATATCAGTATGGATGACAGATCACCACCTCAAGCTGAACCTTGGGAAGACGGAGCTGCTCTTCCTCCCGGGGAAGGACTGCCCGTTCCATGATCTCGCCATCACGGTTGACAACTCCGTTGTGTCCTCCTCCCAGAGTGCGAAGAGCCTTGGCGTGACCCTGGACAACACCCTGTCGTTCTCCGCTAACATCAAGGCGGTGACCCGATCCTGTAGGTTCATGCTCTACAACATTCGGAGAGTACGACCCTGCCTTACACAGGAAGCGGCACAGGTCCTAATCCAGGCACTTGTCATCTCCCGTCTGGATTACTGCAACTCGCTGTTGGCTGGGCTCCCTGCCTGTGCCATTAAACCCCTACAACTCATCCAGAATGCCGCAGCCCGTCTGGTGTTCAACCTTCCCAAGTTCTCTCACGTCACCCCCGCTCCTCCGCACACTCCACTGGCTTCCAGTTGAAGCTCGCATCTGCTACAAGACCATGGTTCTTGCCTACGGAGCTGTGAGGGGAACGGCACCTCCGTACCTTCAGGCTCTGATCAGTCCCTACACCCAAACGAGGGCATTGCGTTCATCCACCTCTGGCCTGCTGGCTCCCCTACCTCGGCGGAAGCACAGTTCCCGCTCAGCCCAGCCAAAACTGTTCGCTGCTCTGGTACCCCAATGGTGGAACAATCTCCCTCACGACGCCAGGACAGCGGAGTCACTCACCACCTTCCGGAGACATTTGAAACCCCACCTCTTTAAGGAATACCTGGGATAGGATAAAGTAATCCTTCTACCCCCCCCCCCCCCCCCCACACCCCCCTTACCCCACCACACCCCCCCCCCAAAAAAAAACCATTGTAAAGTGGTTATCCCACTGGCTATAAGGTGAATGCACCAATTTGTAAGTCGCTCTGGATAAGAGCGTCTGCTGAATGACATAAATATAAATGTAATCAGGGTCAGGCAGCCAGGGAAGACAAGTCTGTGATGGCGCAGAGGTGAACTTTTGCAAATACAACACTTTATTCTCTCTGTGCAGCAAACATTGGAGAAGCAAGAAGCTTCAAAGATTGAAACTATTTTAAGGCAGTCTAACAAACCTCTAAAATTGATTTCCAAACTGTATCAAGGGTTGAAAGAGGCTTTTCCTGATGACACAAAACATGTAAAACAAAAATCAGAGGAAGACCTGGGAGACGCTATTGATGATGATGAATGGATACAGATATGTTAAAATGCCCAGTCATGTTCATATAATCTCAGACATAAATTACTGCAGTTTAAGACCATCCATAGAATGTACTATATGCCAGTGAAACGGAATATCATGCACTCAGAAATGTAATTATTCTGCTGGAGGTGTAAAAAAGGGGACATATTTACATATATTATGGTCTTGTGAAGGGAGGCTGAATTTGGGCAAAGACTATGTTCTTCTATCTCAACATGTCTACAGATTCTCCCTGTTTATGTTTGCTTGGAAATGTTGATACTGGAGACTGTTATCAAGTTAGAAGAGCTCTCCAGTACTATTAGGTCTATGATATGAACTAAATGTAGGATGTACTGTTTGTGTGTTAATGTGTAGGTGTATGTGTGTTTTTTATTTTTTATTTTGTTTTCCAAACCTTTTCCTTGGGAAGGGGAAGGAAGTTGTGTTATCAAAATAAAATAAAATTGTATTTGTCACATGCGCCGAATACAATAGGTGTGAAATGCTTACTTACAAGCCCTTAACCAACAATGCAGTTTTAAATAAAATAAGAGTTAAGAAAAATATTTACTAAATAAACTAAAGTAAAAAATTAAAGAGCAACAATAAAATAACAATAACGAGGCTATATACACAAGGGGTACCGGTACCGAGTTAATGTGCGGGGGTACAGGTTAGTCGAGGTAATTGAGGTAATATGTACATGTAGGTAGGGGTAAAGTGACTATGCATATATCATAAACAGCGAGTAGCAGCACTGTCAATGCAAATAGTCCGGGTAGCCATTTGATTAGCTGTTCAGCAGTCTTATGGCTTGGGGGTAGAAGCTGTTAAGAAGCCTTTTGGACCTAGACTTGGCGCTCCGGTCCGTGCGGTAGCAGATAGAACAGTCTATGACTAGGTTGGCTGGAGTCTTTGCCAATTTTTAGGGCCTTCCTCTTCCTTTGGAGAGATTTGAGTTATTGACTAGACTGGTGGGGGTCGGGCATGCAGGCGGCTTGGGTTGGCTGGGCGGTCTGGCTGAAATTTGATATAGTAGATGTCTTAATAAAGACAATCAAAAGTTAAGTCTTTGTACTTCATTTGTAAGAGTTGTTGATTTGTTAGGCTATTGGTTAAAGGTGCAACACAATATTGATGAGTAAATTATCATTGATCTAGTTCAGTCTTATCAATCACTTAAACATATTTAATAATTGTCTCTTACCTAGCTTGATGATTGTGGGCATTTTTGATTACTTTTTGTTGTTCTAAATAGAGACGGCTAGAAGGGCCATGGGTCATATTAGATGGTGTAGAAATGCAGGAAAGGAACTTTAGATGCCCCCAAAAACTGGGGGACCCCCAGACCCCCTGCCAAGTTATGTCCCTTCCCGAGTGGCGCAGTGGTCTAAGGCACTGCATCGCAGTGCTAGCTGTGCCACTAGAGATCCTGGTTCGTATCCAGGCTCTGTCGTAGCCGGCCGCGACCGGGAGACCCATGGGGCGGCGCACAATTGGCCCAGCGTTGTCCAGGGTAGGGGAGGGAATGGCCGGCAGCTCAGTTTGTAGAGCATGGCGTTTGCAACGTCTGGGTTGTGGGTTCGATTCCCACGGGGGGCCAGTATGAAAAAAAATAAAAATGTATGCACTCACTAACTGTAAGTCGCTCTGTATAAGAGCGTCTGCTAAATGACTAAAATGTAAATGTAAAACCAAAGTTGTGCCCCTGGGTCAAGTTAATGGAAACATAGCTTGTGAGTTGTCTGAGTGGGGAGGGGAACACTGAAAACTAGCTGTTATTGGCAGAGGTTTGGAACTCTCTTTGTTATTGATCTACTAACCAATTTACCTCATAGTGATGTCACCATGGAAAGCCGAAACTCCCTCCCATGTAAACCTGCTGATTAGAAGGTCCTGTGTAGATTGCATTCTCAACCAGCAACTATCAGGAAATAACACTAATCAAATTGTTTTACACTTTTACAGTGTTAGTTTTATCAGCAGTTGTACAATATGATATAAAACACAGGAAAAACTTAATTTTGACTGCACTGGGCCTTTAATGTATTGCAATTACTTCAACTAACTTTATGTTGCATATTTAATCACCTGCTAATAATAACTGGTATTTGGAACCTCCATTAGGACAAGGCAAGAGTGCATGAAAATTTTATATGTAATGACATTTTATTTCACACTGGAAGCAAACAGGGTAAGCTAAGATTTTTTTTTTTTTTTTTTTACAGTGTTTAGTTTTTCCAACTGATATTCAACATAACAACAGTAAATTAATGTATTGTTTTGGAATTCATTTAAAATGCTGGTTAGTTTAGAGTCCTTACATGACCCTACTCTGTAAGCCAATATGTAATTCATATACAGTAATTGTTATACAGTGCTCCTTATTATTCAGTCCATGAAATAACACCATATATAGATTCTACAGAGCCTACTGAGTATTCCCAACCACACTTTTACCTCAGCACATCTCTATAAGCAAATGTGTAATTTATAGGCCTACAGTGTATTGCATTGGGACCAATGGAATGGGTGCAGTATAAAGTGCTGCTGGGTATTTAGACCACAGTCCCCCATGAAATAACAACATATTTACATTGATTCTACAGACCTTATTGAGTATTCCCAACCCCACTTTTACCTCAGCACATAGAATAGTTTTTTCTCTAAAGGCCAATATTTTGAACATTGCATTTTTTGATACTGGTCTTAAAACATGTTTTTAGAAGCCTATTTGTAATTGTTTTCATAAATTCCTCCTTACATTTGTTATAAGCACAATACAAATGGACATTGATTAAAATTTAATACAGTATCTTGAATGAGTTATCCACGTTGCAGTTTTGAATTGCGGGCTTTTATTTTGAAGGTTTTCTCATTACCATACAAAATTAACGTCAGCATTTGTGCTGCTGGCCGAATACTAGTGGACATTTGACTGGCCAGGAACAAATTGCGTGTGTGTTTGGTATATCTTTATCGTCTCTTAGCTAACACATTACCTGCAATTTACTCAGTGTACTGGCAGTAGTGGAGGGAGCAAAAGAGGAGAGTTTGCATCTGAGTGCAAGCAGGGCAGCGAGTGACTGAAGTGCGGCAGGGAGGGAGAGCTGTATCGGTCAGCCATGTGTTTCCGAAAGAAGAACAAGAGCCCGCCGGTGCTGAGCCACGAGTTCGTGATCCAGAATCACGCGGATATGGTTTCGTGTGTGGCTATGGTCATTCTCCTCGGCCTGATGTTCGAGGTACAGAGTTAAACCCTGGAATGTATGCTGTGTAGTTAGCTTAGGTAGGTAAATAACTAGGTAGCTAGCTAAAGAAAACGCCTCGTCTGAACAATGATGACGAGGGGGCTGGGCGCAAGCGTCTCCCTTTTTATGTGTCACACTAAGCGGGGAGGCCCACTGTTCAAGCTAGTGGCTGCCTGGTCAGCTAGCGTTTCACACCACCTAGTTCGCTATCTAATATTACCAAATGGATTGCTAGCCAGTTAGCTATGAAATCCATCCATGTGACAGTAAAATACGGGAACTACCCCAACCTCTGCCTAACACATTTTACTGTGGTTGACTCCTATGCATCAGACATCAGGAAGAACCACCCTTGTTACAAACTGCCATGACAATACCATTTTGCTACATGTGAATTGCATGCACATCATTGCTTCCCGTTTTATGTCATTCCTTTATTGTAGGTGACAGCAAAGTTTGCCAACGTGTTCATCACTCTCCAATACAATGTGACTCAAAGTCTTGGTAAGGTTACATTTGTCTTTGTCTATTTCTAAAACACACGATTATTGGCCTTTATTACAGTATTTAGTACTTGTATCCAATACCTTGTATTTGAAGCCTTTGGCCATGTTTTTTTGTTCTTTGTGTGTTATTAGATGAGAGGGCTGAGCCAGTGAACCTAAAGACATGGCCCTGTGTTCTTCTACCTGCTCATCGCTGTCATACTCCATGCCTTAATACAGGAATACATTCTCGATGTGAGTGTCTCTGCGCACAGACCCCGGCACACTGTGTGTGTGACCTGAGAGAGAAAGCGGGACCTCTGTATAGGTAGTTACTCTACAGAACACATACGTCACTGTGTGTGCAAGTGTGTCTTTTCCAGCTCTCTTTGTGAGTCATGACATAAGGTCTGGCTTAGGGATGTGGCGGTCACGAAATTTAGTCAGCTGGTAATTGTCAAGCAAATAACTGTCGGTCTCACGATAATTGACCGTTAATTAACAAACACATTTAGCATCTCCTGGCTTCCACACACAGCCTACAAGCCATTGTAAAAAGTATAATAAATCCATGTAATATAGCCTACACCTTCACAATAAATCCATTGATTTATTTATGTTAGACAGGTCTAAAGAAGCATGATATGAAGAAAATGTTGTCTATTTCAGAAGAAAAGAATAGCATACTCGGAGTTGTCCTGATGTGGCTATGGCTGTGGGCTACACTAGTTCATTTAGCAGACAAGATTTGCTTATAATTCTGTGGCATTCTTTAATGTTATTTTATGGTATGAATAATACAATTGAACAAAGCTGAATAACATATAAATAGTTTCTCAATGATTTGAGGGAGTGCGCACATGCGGCTATTCTGTGTTGAGCGGTTAACAAAGAAATAGGTACTCTTATATGCTTAATTTAGTTATTAATGTAACTTTAAATGTTCTGCAAACATTGGGCTCTTTGTTTTGAAATACATTGTAAGGCTGCATGATGAGACGCTAATGATGATTTGAAAAAAGTCGCTTGAAAGACATGAGCTCTGCTTGGTTTTTGCTTAGGCAGGACACACTCCAATAGTCTCTCATTCACAATTTGACAAGCACTTGATAATGCCTCGAATTTCACGGTGGCATCCCCTTTGTGGCCGTAATGCACCCTAAAAAACATCCATTCAGAGTGTTGCGTTGTGCCCTTCTCCCAGAGTGTGCTGCACAATCCGAAGCATCTCTCACTCACACGGCTCTCCGTCACATGATCGGGTCTTTCTCACAGGCTACAAGTTAAGACAGACACATCGGGGACGCAACTGCGCGCGTCCTTATCCAATTCCGAGGTGCATATTGAAGATATTGGAAGAACTGTCCACATTTACTTTTCGTCAGCCAACAAGATGAGTAGGCCTAACGAACAGCAAAACCACTAGCCTATGTCAGTCCACTATCCCCGATAGTACAAAAGTCGACCTATTCCAAACATGTTGTGGGATGCGATAGATCCCAAATTAATACAACCACTAGCATCAAAAATCATTTTTTATGCAATGTGGCTGATGCAACAGATCAGAACGTTTAGCTTAAAATGTTGATAAACTATTAGGCTGTTTCTTCACATTATAAGCGCAGCAATGCGCACATGGTAGTAGGCTATAAACGCGAATGTTCCATTAGCGGAAAACACCATTATCAAAAGTGACTGTAAATGCAATTATGCATGTAATGCTTTTATTATAAAGGTGAATTTTTATGGTGAATATTATCTTCCCCAAACTTGAAAATCACGGGCTGCTTATATATGCCAGTTAGGCTCTACACCTCTTGTAAAGCGGATTAATGTGTTTAGTTCTAAGAAGTTATTTGGCCACTTTAGTTGTGATACAAACCTTGGACACACCTACTCATTCAAGGGTTTTTCTTTATTTTTTACTATTTTCTACATTGTAGAATAATAGTGAAGATATCAAAACTATGAAATAACACACATGGAATCATGTAGTAACCAAAAAAGTGTTAAACAAATCAAAATATAATTTATATTTGAGATTCTTCAAATAGCCACCCTTTGCCTTGATGACAGCTTTGCACACTCTTGGCATTCTCTCAACCAGCTTCATGAGGTAGTCACCTGGAATGTCTCCCGAGTGGCGCAGTGGTCTAAGGCACTGCATCGCAGTGCTAGCTGTGCCACTAGAGATCCTGGTTAGAATCCAGGCTCTGTCGTAGCCGGCCGCGACCGGGAGACCCATGGGGCGGCGCACAATTGGCCCAGTGTCGTCCAGGGTAGGGGAGGGAATGGCCGGCAGGGATGTAGCTCAGTTGGTAGAGCATGGTGTTTGCAACGCCAGGGTTATGGGTTCGTTTCCCACAGGGGGGCCAGTATGAAAAATCTAAAAAATAATGTATGCACTCACTAACTGTAAGTCGCTCTGGATAAGAGCGTCTGCTAAATGACTGAAATGTAAATGTGAATGCATTTCAACTAACAGGTGTGCCTTGTTAAAAGTTAATTTGTGGAATTTCTTTCCTTAATGCGTTTGAGCCAATTAGTTGTGTTGTGACAAGGTAGGGGGTGGTATACAGAGGACAGCCCTATTTGGTAAAAGACCAAGTCCATATTATGGCAAGAACATCTCAAATAAGCAAAGAGAAATGACAGTCCATCATTACTTTAAGAAACACAACTTTTGACTAGTAGTGTATGTAATTTTTTACTTTTTTAGTCATTTAGCAGATGCTCTTATCCAGAGTGACTTACAGGAGCCATTAGGGTTAAGTGCCTTGCTCAAGGGCACATCGACAGATTTTTCACCTAGTCGGCTTGGGGATTAGAACCAGCGACCTTTCGGTTACTGGCACAACGCTCTTAACCACTAAACTACCTGCCGCCCCTATCACAAGTGATAGGCTAATATTGTCACCCATCAGACTACTCTTGATTTAATCTTTACATACACAAAATAATATATGTGTGAGATTTGTTTTGATTTAGAATGGACCATTATCATGCACCTGTATCTAAACAGGGGCAGCGGGAAAAAAGACATGTCATCTATGCACTTAAATAGCAAATGGAGGATGCTTTTCCGTGGTTTATTTTCATGCCAGCCAGGTAGGCTATACTCCTGTTGTAAATATAAGCAATGTGCTTAATATTAGGAAAGTTGGGAAATAAATATAGTAGGCCTAGCCTATAGAAAGCTGATGGGGATCCTCTTCTTTTTATTAGTGGCCATCACTCTGTTTTCTCCCGCAATTGCATAGTCTATAGAAATGTTGCGCAACATCAGCTCATGGGCTCTCATGAAGTGTTTGATTAGATTTTCGAAAACATTTGCATTGATGTCGGAGTGATTTAGAGGGACAATTGAGTGCTGAGTACCAGGCAGTTAACAAGTTTGGTAGGCTACTAATGACCATCAGCAGCATCGGCGCTTGGAGAAGTCTAATTACCGTGACTAAACGGTAATGTAGAATTTGTCTTCATGACTCGTGACTGCTGGTGTGGCGGTAATACGGTTACCGCAACAGCCCTAGTCTGGCCTTGTCTCTCTTGTCAGTCTTATCCTCCTCACACCCTCTTAGCTAGTTAAATAGCATCCCCCACGTCCACTACACAGCCCACAACAAATAACTGACACGTTTTCCAGCGTCGGTATGCATGTCTCATGTCCTATTCTCTCTTATTTCAGAAATTGAATAGGCGGTTGCATCTGTCGAAAACCAAACACAGCAAGTTCAATGAATCGGGACAGCTTGCTGCCTTCTACTTAATCTCTTTCATCTGGGGCTGCAGCATCTTAACAGCGATAAGAAGGCCAACGAAGCGCTGCCAGGAGCCAGGGAACATTATGTGATGACAAGACGAGCACTCAGTCCCGCCGTATTTGTTCTTTGGCTCATGTCGCCTCTTCTTTTCATCTGTTAGGAGGAATTTGCAACAAATCCTACTTTCTTATGGGAGGGCTATCCACACACCAACATGGTGTAAGTAAGGATTTATACATTCATTTTACGCCTTCAGCTCACTCATTATTTCAACAATATGTCAGTAGGACAGGGTAAGAACTCTATTCATCACTACTTGTTCTGTGTGTTCTTGTTTGGAGTTACACAAGTGTTCTGGGAAGCCTCGGCTGTTTTGATTTGGCACATAGGAAAGGCCTTGCTTTCCCAGGGTGCATTGCAGCCCCAGTATTGCGTGTGGGAGTACACTTCTGCTGTAACGGGCTGCCTCATCAAATCCATGATAGATGTCAGCTTCCCCTGAAATAATTATTAAGAATGTGATGTTTTACACTGTGCCAAGCGTCTCTCTTCCATCCTTTCCACAATTGTCATTGTGTTACGAGGCATATTATTTCTATGCATTTTAATTGGGGAAATGGAGTAAGCAGGAATGCATAGATTGTGATCTGAATGTTTTCTCCCAGATTACACATTTTTATTATTGATGGACCTTTAATGTACCATCACATGCATTTACAAACATGTTATTTAACAGGGTTGAAGTTATCGTGATCAAATCTTCCAATCATATCCATTCCCTCCCTACATTGATAGACCTGATCTCTCCTGCTGCCTGCCTTTAACCTGTCCTTTCTGCAGCTTTCAGGTGAAGTTCTTCTACATTTGCCAAATGGCCTACTGGCTCCATGCCCTTCCTGAGCTGTACTTCCAGAAAGTGTGAAAGGTAAGTGTCCATGATCACACCATGGGTTAGGTCCTAAAGATGACACATCTGTTATTTAAACATGGAAGGATGTATCTTGTGACTGTAATTCCCCATTGTTTCAATATACAGTTCCTATTCTTTATTCTCATCTTACACTGATACAGCAGTCATTAATAAAGGCTCTTTCCTGCTGGTTTCTCTGGAGGATATTCCCCGCCAGCTCTATTACATTTGCCTTTACGTCTTCCTCATCACCGGTGCCTACGTCTTAAAGTGAGTGTGCGTCTTTTTAGTGAAGTGGTTAGATAAATGGACTATTAGAATGGAGCTGCCGTTCTGAAGTTTTCCTGTATGCACTTTATTTTGACTATATTCCATGGCCTGAGTGAGTCATTCCAAATAACTGAATGAAGCAGCAGCACCTCTTTTCCATCCGAGAACAGGGTTTGGTATGGCAGAGGGATAAACGCACTCCATATCTGGGTGTTCCTGTCATTGCAATAAAGTGTGTGTGAGCAGCTGTGGATATTCCCTTATCACCTCGTGACTGAGTGTGTGTGAGGTGGCCTGGTTTAGCGTGACGGGACTGTGCAGGCAACAAGGGAGGTATTCAAACTATGCCAGAGGGATACCTCAGTTAAAACTATCCCGTTATGTAATATATCCCCGGAGAGAGTTGGGGAGATGGGTGGGGTTAGTTGTAAACGTTTCCTTGCTTTGTCCTCAATACAGGCAATCTTTAAACTTCCTATACACAGGTCAAGTCTGCCAAACTAATTTGTTCTGTGAAAGTGGCTATGGAAAAGTTTAGTAGTAATATCACAGACCATAGAATCATCATCAGTAGTTGCATCACTGCCTGGTATGGCATCTGACCGCAAGGCGCTACAGAGGGTCGTGCATACGGCCCAGAACATCACTGGGGCCAAGCTTCCTGACATCCAGGACCTATATATTAGGCGGTGTCAGAGGAAGGCCCAACAAAATGGTCCAATACTCCAGTCACCCAAGTCATAGACTGTACACTCTGCTACCGCGCGGCAAGCGGTATCGGAGCGCCAAGTCTAGGACCAAAAGGCTCCGTAACAGCTTTGTTTTTACACTGCTGCTACTCACTGTTTATTGACTATAGTTCAGCATTCAACACCATAGTACCCTCCAAGCTCATCATTAAGCTCGAGGCCCTGGGTCTGAACCCCGCCTTGTGCAACTGGGTCCTAGACTTCCTGATGGGCCGCCCCCAGGTGGTGAAGGTAGGAAACAACATCTCCACTTCGCTGATCCTCAACACTGGGGCCCCACAAGGGTGCGTGCTCAGCCCCCTCCTGTACTCCCTGTTCACCCATGACTGCGTGGCCTAGCATGCCTCCAACTCAATCATCAAGTTTGCAGACGACACAACAGTAGTAGGCTTGATTACCAACAATGACGAGACCGCCTACAGGGAGGAGGTGAGGGCTCTGGGAGTGTGGTGTGCACCCGGGGGGTTTGGAAAACCCTGTCTTACACCAGCCCATAGAAGATGTCACTGCTGTTGCCATGGTGACTTGTAACCCCCTCCGATTCTCCTTTTCCAGTTTCACTTTGTGGCCGCTACTTTTCATCATCGCTCGCCTCCTCACCCTCTCCGTATTGACATTCGGCTTCGGACTGCCCCGTGCAGAGAACCAGGGATTCTCACTGGCAGAGGGAAACTTTAATGTGCTCACCGTTAGGCAAGTCGTGTTTCTTAAGGTCACTTCATTTGCCCTCTCCCCTTCTGATTGGGGCCTTGAGAGCAAGTTTGAACTTTTCCTCTATCCAAAAAAATAGAAAGCCTGCTCATGTCTGGTCCTCATAATGGTTTACTTCCCTGTCTCAGGATGACATGCCTGGCTGCCATTTGCCTCACCCAGGCCTGGATGATGTGGAAGTTCATCAACCTTCAGCTGAAGAAGTGGAGGGAGCCCAGCCAGAGCCAGGCTCTCAAGGTGAGGCTGTCAGCCCAAAGAGCAAGCCCCACAAGAAGGACCCAGCCCAGGGTGAGTCCCCCTACCGCCGCCCACTCTAAACACCCACCTCCAGCCAGTGTAACTCTGTGATACAGATATGTTTCTGACATGTTGTTCTTGTTCCTTTGTTTTGTTAGGAGGTTCTGCCAACGGTGTGCTGATGTCCGATGACTAGACATCAACCCGGGCGAGAAAAGCCAAAGCCCTGTAGAGATGGAGGGAGAGGACTAAGTGAGGGGGCTGCTCTCAATGTGACATTGTCTTTTCACCACTTAAAAAAAAGTTAACCTACTGTTTGCCAAAACAACCACTTAAGCGCACAAAGAAACCTTAACTTAACCATCTCTTTTGAGTTAGAACCTATGTTTTTACAGTTCTAGGTTTTGATGACCTGATAGGTTTGTGTAGGCAGGGCAGGGTCGACTGCTTAAATGCTTTAACTGGATAGATTGGTCAAAAAGTGTCCCTTTTGGAGAGGACTTATCTGTACCTATTGCATCCAGCTTCAGGGCCCAACTATATCAAACTTGGTAGCCGGGTTTATGAGGAAGTCAAACAAGCGCTGTTCAATTTGCATTGCAAGAGTGCATATCAGGATGCATGTTCTCAACAAAGCATGTAAAAGAGAGTGGGGAAACGTTGGGCAAAAGGTTTTGCCTTTTACCCGGCCGTTGGTTTCGATTGAATAGGGACTTCACCATTAACTCCTAAAGGTGTCTGTTTACTGCCTGTATTGTTACTTGTCTTTTGCCATATGAAACCTGGGCTATTATGGGATTAAGGGCACTGTTAGTCATTAGTAGCCACATGTCAGATTTACCAACTCTCCATCAGCAATCTTCACACTCAACTGGCCTTCATCCAGAAATCTGAACTCCTGACGGGAGATACTGTCTTTATCCATGCAGAACTAGATCTCTTGAGCAAATGATGCATTAATGTAAGAGTAGGATTTGTGTGTTTCAGTTCAGGATTTCGATCCCCTGATATGAGTATCTTCATTAATGAAAAACGCCAATAATTTATGCGCTCAAGTTATAGGTGAGCCTAATGGGTCATGGTTAGGTTTTGACGTGCCGTCGAGTTTGCATGTCTCAGAAGCATTCAGTGGCCTTTTTTCACATCTGATGGAAGAGTTATTTATTTAATTTGTTTCTTATTTTTTTATCATGCTTTGGCAACTATAACCAGCATAGACGAGGTACAAAGTGAAACGCTTTGTCTCAACACTCATCCCAAATTATGCAATCCTCCTTTAAGTGTCCTTAAAATGTCAGTGGCGTGAGCTGTGAAATTCTCCTCGGGTTTCCTTTTCTGTTTGCCTTTTTTTATATTGGGGTATATGATGGCAGGCAGCTGCCGCCGTAGACACCCGCCTATTATACTGTATATCCCATTGTGTATATCCCATTGTGTGTGTTGGTGCGTGTTTGAGCCTGTGTGTAGTTCTGCCTGTGATTAATGCTTCTGTGTGAGGAAGTGAAGGCTCCGCATGAGTCGTGCTTTAGTCGTAGCTTTTTTTTCTTGGAGAAAAAAAAGTTGTTGCCCTTGTGGCATTATGGAATGCGACAGAACCAGTTTATAGACTCCCCTTGTGTTTCCTTTATAAATCTTCTACCTTGTTTTCATTTAATCTTTTTGTTAATTTACAAGAAAGGCTTTTGTAATGAAGACAATGAGTGGCAACTGGGTATATTCTATATAAAGTTAGTTATTGGATGCTTATAACCCCTGACCCTTCCTTTACCCCTGTCCTGTGTGAAAGAGATTCTGTGACTTCTGTTTGACGGGGCCTTCTTACTCCACCAGTCCAGTGATTTGGACATTGCCTTTAGACACTTGTGTAATGTCCTACTGTAGATCCAATGCTGTTGCCACAAATGGGCCAGGTTATTAGTCCTGCTATGGTGAACCAGTGTGCCTGATCTCAGCTTTGTTTGTGCGTTGGCAACTTCTCTGACTAGTGTTATAGTTGGCTCACGCATATACTGGTCTGGGACCAGGCTACTTGTTTGGTAGGTTGAGTAGTATTGTTTCAGCAGGAAGTAGATGAGTCATGACTTCAGTTTAGTCCTCATAACGCTCTATCTAAAGCTTAAGTTGAGTGTGGAGGACTTGTGTTCTGTTTTGAGTCTTATGTGGCAATGTCTTAGTAGGAGAGGAGGAGCAGAGGACTTGTATACCAGTCTGAACTTTACTGTATCTGATGTTTAAATTAATCTATATGAATAGTGTTTTTTTATTTTTTAGCTATTTTTATAGAGTTGAAGAACTTAAGTTCACTACTATTCAACACACAGATATAAATATATGAATATTATTTTTCATCCTTATTGGTATGGGTTTTTATACATCAAAAGACAAAGCTTGCTCCCCTTTAAGTAAGGGTGTACATTTCAGTGCAAGAGAATGTCTTATTTCATAGTTTCACCATCATAGTCTATTTCATAGAGTAAATAAGAGCTACTCTGCTATAAAGATGATGCTCAGAAAGCACTATACTGAAACTGTCTACATTAGTAATTAAAGTAGAATACAATAAAACTGTCTGCTATCCATGGCACTAGGTCGCAAATATACTGTTTTGATCAGCAAGGATCCTGTTATGTTTGTTTTAATGTTCCTAGGTGTATTTAAATCAGTTGGTCGTCCTACTCTTACACTAGCCTGATCCCAGACCCGTGTGTCTGCTTTAGCCATCTCTGGTAGGATGACAACCATAGTCAGGAGTTGACTAGGATATTAGTATCTGATCAGGGAACAGGCTATTGCTGACCCTGTAAAACAACACATTTCACTTCACCTAGCCGGTGTATGTGGCAATAAATCATCTAACTATATACAATATTTTGGTGAAGTGATAATTACAATAAAGGAAAGATGAGCATTTGCCCTTCATCCATTCCTTTAGTAATTGATTTGATATCACGCTTGATCGTGATACACTGTGTGAGGGGCCGAGTAACAGGAGTCTCTATCCAGGTTAGGACACATGCTAACCCCCTCTGAGTTGTATTCTCACTGCCACAACCACACCCACTATTGAAATATGCACTGTAGTGAAGCATGACACCAATGGATGCCACAATGTACTGTCAGCATGTTCGGTTGTACCACTGTTCTATAACCTAGCGCGAGTCTTGACTGCAATGACCATTTGATCTCTGGTAAGGTGGCAATGTGCCGACACAATGCGAAGACCCATGCTAATAGTTGATTAGTTTCTATCAACCTTTTAGGTGGCAACAACCATTAATGCATTTGCGATGAGATGCATACAAGCTTCATAGCAGCCAGGTACACAGAAAAAATACTAAATTATTTCAGATGGTTTTGTTTCATGCACTGTCCTTGTTTTGTGTTATTTTGCTGCTTGCTTCTAGATGTTGCAATATATTCCTTTTTTTAACGTGTTCTCTCTGATATGCTCTGGAATGTAAATTATGTATTTATGCAAAATCTTGGGATTTCTGACATGTTTTCTTTGTTAGTATTTATTTCATATTTGAATAAAGCCTTTGATTATCCAGAGTGATTTGTTGCTTAAACTAAAGGTTGAAGAGTTTCTACATAGTGCTTTCGGAAAGTATTCAGACCCCTAGACCTTTAACACATTTTGTTACGTTACAGCCTTATTCTAAAATGGATTGATTAAAAAAATCCTCAGCAATCTACACACAATACCCCATAATGACAAAGCGAAAACAGGTTTATAGAAATGTTTGCAAATGTATTAAAAATTGTAAACAGAAATATCTTATTTACATAAGTATTCAGACCCTTTGCTACTGAGACTCGAATTCGAGTCTCAGTAGCATACTGTTTCCATTGATCATACTTGAGATGTTTCTACAACTTGATTGGAGTCCACCTGTGGTAAATTCAATTGATTGGACATGATTTGGAAAGGCACACACCTGTCTGTCTATATAAGGTCCCACAGTTGACAGTGCATGTCAGAACAAAAACCAAGCCATGAGATTGAAGGATTTGTCTGTAGAGCTCAGAGACAGGATTGTGTCGAGGCACAGATCTGGGGAAGGGTACCAAAACATTTGTGCAGCATTGAAGGTCCCCAAGAACACAGTGGCCTCCATCATTCTTAAATGGAAGAAGTTTTGAACCACCAAGACTCTTCTTAGAGTTGGCCGCCTGGCCAAACTGAGCAATCGGGGGAGAAGGGCCGTGGTCAGGGAGGTGACCAAGAACCCGATGGTCACTCTGACAGAGCTCTAGAGTTCCTCTGTGGAGATGGGAGAACCTTCCAGAAGGACAACCATCTCTGCAGCACTCCCCCAATCAGGCCTTTATGGTAGTGGCCAGACGGAAGCCACTCCTCAGTAAAAGGCACATGACAGCCCGCTTGGAGTTTGCCAAAAGGCACCTAAAGACTCTCAGACCATGAGAAACAAGATTGAACTCTTTGGCCTGAATGCCAAGTGTCACGTCTGGAGGAAACCTGGCACCATCCCTATGTTGAAGCATGGTGGTGGGAGAGTCATGGTGTGGGGATGTTTTTCAGCGGCAGGGACTGGGAGACTAGTCAGGCTCGAGGCAAAGATGAACGTAGCAAAGTACAAAGAGATCCTTGATGAAAACCTGCTCCAGAGCTCTCAGGACCTTAGACAGGGGTGAAGGTTCACCTTCCAACAGGACCACGACCCTAAGCACACCCCAAATACAGGTGTGCCAAGCTTGTAGCGTCATACCCAAGAAGACTCGAGGCTGTAATCGCTGCCAAAGGTTCTTCAACAAAGTACTGAGTAAAGGGTCTGAATACTTATGTAAATGTAATATTTCAGTTATTTTAAAACCTGTTTTTGCTTTGTCATTATGGTGTATTGTGTGTAGATTGAGGGGGGGAAAAAAAACAATTTAATCCATTTTAAAATAAGGCTGTAACCTAACTGTGGAAAAAGTCAAGGGGTCTGAATACTTTCCGAAGGCACTGTATGTCGAAACTCAAGAAAAATGTGAGGGGGGGGACAGTAATTACAAAATACAGTCATTACAGTATTAGAATGATGATCCCACACAAGAGATAGGGGACATGTATTGTCAGTCATACAGCAAGGGTTTATGAAACACCTTTCAACTGATGTTTATATTGCTACGACTGCCCTCCCACTGTTTTCTTGTTATGTTAAACTTTAGATTGGAGTACCATCACACTCT